GGGATAGGTATCACTAATAAATGTCACTGTGGAATGTCTAAATAAAATCTTAGCAAACAGAATCCAACGTCATATTATGAAAATAACACCATGAATTAATGAGTATTTTATGATTGGTTTACTATTAGAAATTCAGTACTGTCACAGTCTATAATAATAAAAAGACAAAAATCTTGCAATTATCTCCATAGATGCTAATACAGCCTATGAGAAAAGTCAATACTCCGGTGTGAATTAAAAAATAAAAAATACTCAAGAAAATAGGGGGCAGGGATGTAGCTCAGCAGCACAAGCTCCTGCCTGATAAGTGCAAGGATCTGAGTTCAATTCCCAGTTCAAAAAGAAAAGAGGAACAAAGAATGCCATCCTAAGATAATGGTGTATGCCTTTGTTCTAACTAATATTTAATGGGGAAGCATTAAAGGCATTTCCTCTAAGATAAGAAGCAAAGTGCAGATGTGCGTTATCTCTACTCTGCAACTAGAGATATAGACCACTATGATGAGACCACAGAAGGCGAGGGGAGTCTTAGGAAGTGGTAAAAATTGTGAAGATGGCTGTGAAGGTTTCTTGGGCTTGGTAAGACAATCCTAGAAGTACTCACAATAAATACCGTGTGTTGTAGCTCTTTTTAAGTGAAACCCTGGTATTAATGTTCAGTCCACATGAGTTCCTGGGGTGTGTTTCTAGCTCAGAGCTCCGGAAAGAGAAAGCAATGTTTTGATGGAAGCAGAAGGCATATCATGAAGTCCTGCCATTCTGGCAGTTGAGGGTTGTAGGATCTGAAGCAAACCCGTTTCCCTTGCTGGTTGTTAATAAGGAGGCAGAACTCTGTGCCTGACGCCGCAGATGCTGCCTGTCCCACTGCTGAAATCCTGCTCATTTCTTCCATGCAGATGTAAAGCCAGTAGGAAAGAAAGCTCACTAGAGGAAGAAATCCAGCAAACCTCCTTGCTTGGAATTCTTTCCTATCTAACGTATCTCGTATCTCGCTGCTGCCCCTAGGAAATACTCCTTTTGGACCAGAATCCATGTGCATTCGCTAAAAGTCACAGAAAAACTTCCACCAACCAGGACCTAGAGTCTCCTGGTGAGAGAAAAACAATGATTCATCCTGAATTTTGGCTCTGGCTCCTTCGTTCAGGCAAAACACAAGAGATCCTGCCAGCTTTGGGATGAAAAGAGCATTCTGTGGAGACAGTGACAAGCCTGAGGCTAGGGACAGGGTAGCAGGAGTTCTCACTCAGAGGAAGAGGACAGAGACTTTCTCCTTGACTAGATCTGAATCAGGCTCCTCCGATTCCGCTTTCTGGCTCTGTCCAGGGTCTGCTTACACAAAGTTTAGCCCCTACCTCTGACATCTGCCCGAATTCCTCATTCTCTACCCCGATACCTGCCACCCCAGCCGCCCTCAGCAGGGTCCTATTGAGCAGTCTATTAAGCATCCTCCCAGCCCCATGGCTGCCCCTTGGCCGCTTGATTGCTTTTAATTCAGCATTGAGTCTGACTTCCCTCCCCAATGCCATCAGCCCTGTTTGAATAGAGTCCTCCCTACTTACTGCCTTTAAAAAATGTCACAAATAGTCTAAAAGAACTCCCAACACGGCAAGATGCCAGCTGCAGGTCCCTAGCGGCCTGGCCCCAGCCTCCTGTCCACCTCTCAGGGCTGCTCTCTCTCCCTGGCCCAGAAGTTGTGGCACAGCAGCCGAGAAGAAGGTAGCTTTGTATTTATTACTCGCTTTTGGTTCTGGGTTTTGTTTGTTTGTTTCCCTCCTCTTGTTCAGTGTTTCTGGCTGACTGCCTGGAGCTTTGTAACTCAACAAACACCTGCTGAATGAAGGACAGGGGCAGACATGGAAGAAAGTGGTGTCTTTTGGCCCCGGGCTTGGGTTGCCTGCAGAGGCCCTGGGGAAAACACCCTGCACACAAAGACGGCCCTGTTGGGAGCTTTTCCCTCAGCCTTCCATTGTTCTCTTCCACAGCGCCAGTGGGAGGGGAGGCGAGATGGCCTCTGTGTTCTGCTTCCAGAGTTCCTCTGCTCAGGGTGAGGAGGCCTGGCAGCACTCCCTCCTCCGCGGCCAGTTCTTCCTCATCCGAGGGACCCACTGGGAGCCAGACCTTGGACCCGGGGCATCTGTGAGAGGGGCCTCAGCTCAAGCGACACAGGCATAGAGATGCAAGTGCGAAGGGAAGCGTGGCTGCCCACCCACTTCCTCGAGGTCCTCTTCATCAATGTCCTCGGGTCCCGCACAAAGCACAGGCCCCCAGGAAAGTGGGAGACTCGGTCTGGAATGGGCACCCAGTCCAACCCATGTGGCCAGCGACCAAGTTCAAAGTCAAAGGCAAGAGTTTGAAGCAGTTAAAAATGGATAGAGTTATTTTACGACTGCTCAATCCAATCATTTACATAAGGACTGGCATGAATTACCAAGCTATGACAAGACACAGAGCAGCTTCCCGACTAGGATTCTGACCATGACATTCTGAAAAAGGCAAATTTAGGTGGATAGTAAAAGGACCAGTGACCTCCAGGGCCTGAGAGACAAGAGTGGCTTTTAGGGTGGTGACAACACTCTACAGTACTACAGCCACGGGTACATCTATAGCAGTCTACGTTTGTCCACACCCCTAGAATGCTCATCACCGAAAGTGAACCTTAACAGGATCCATACCATGGTCCCAGAGTGAGAACCCCAAGTCTGTGCAGGCCTAGCAACTGTGACAAATGTGCCCCACTGGTGAGGGGCATTGATCCTGGGGCAGTAATGCATGTGTAGAGGCCAGGGGCACCTGCGAAAACCAAGTAACAGTCACTCAGTTTTCCTGTGTGCCTGAGACTGCTCTAAAACTAAGTATTTTAAAAGAGAGAATTGCATTTAGTGCCCTTTTTTACTTCATTTTATTTTCCTATTAAGTCAATTTGATACAAAGTTTTTGGTCTAGGTGATGGGTTAACTAATGGTCACCTTGTAACACCCAGCTGGGCTGAATCAGCATGGTGCTGGGTGGAGGGCCCGCCAGAGGACTGTTGCCAACAGCATAAATGGAGAACTGGGGGGGGGGGGGGAGACGGTGTGCTGTTGCATCTCCTGGAGAAGCTGTGGCGCTGGTTGTCCTGATGTAAACTCAGCTGCTCTCATCATTGGAGGAGTTCGGCTCTACACTGTCAACCTAACAGCATGCCTGTCACATTGCTAATGCTTAGGTGTTCGTGAGCGCCTCCCTGGCAAACCAACGAGGAGATGCATCATGTGACTTCTAGGTCCCTTCCGAAGTAAATAAATGTAAAATATTGTAATGTTCTACACACACACACACACACACACACACACACACACACACACACACTCATAGTTTCTAAAATCACGGAAGGAAGAAAGAAGTCAGTTTGCTGACTTTGTCAATACTACTTTAAGGTCCTGGAACAACATGGAACACTGTAGGTTACTGGGTTGGCTCTGGGAAGCTGAGATGGGTCCCCACTTCCTCCCCGAGTCCACCTAAGCGATGCTCTCAGGTTTGTGTCTTTTCCTCTTGCAGCCTTTGCCGGCAATTTCCGTCTGCAGGACAGCTACTAGCAACTCTGCCTGTTTCCAAGACCACGGCCACATACAGCCCCACACCTCAGCGCCCGCCTGCCCTGAGCCTTCCAGGTACATAGTGAGGTCCGCAGTGGCAGCTGTAGGTGACCAGCAGGGGGGCTGGGAGAGAAGGGAAGAGCTGCAGCTGGAGGGGAGGGAACTCCCATCCCATTCCAGAGCAGGAAAATGGGGGAATGAGCTAACACGGGTGTGGCCGTGAGGAAGGAGCAGCGGGTGGGCCGGCAGCCCCCAGCCTCCCCCGGAGAAACCAGGTGAGGAATAGCAGCTGCGAGGTGACAAACCCTTGGCGAGGCTTGGTGGGCAGCCCAGAGAGAGGGGGAGGCTGGAACACCAGTGGTGAGGTCCTCAGAGTGCTGACCCTGCCTCCCGTCTCTAAGCAGCTCTGATGCTGCCACTGAAGACTTCTGCAGACAGAAAAGATCATGTGCCTGCCTGGGGGTGGGGTAGGAATGCAGAAACTGTCTTTCTGGAAATCCTCTTAGCAAATCTCTCCCCAAACTGACTCCAGGGAAGCAGGCCAGACTTGACCTATTCACAACGTTCATTTCCCCACTTCTAGAGGTCTCCAAGAACTCACTTTCCACCCCAGCTCAGTACTCCCAGACAGTCTTTCCCTCCTTTCTCTCTCTCCCAGGCGGGCTTGGAGTCAAGCTGGAGCTCTCAGCGTTTCCTCCAGGATCATGAGACCCAGACCCAAGGGGGAAGCTGAGGGGCACACAGCTTTCTAGACTTGCACTGCCTGAGTGTGAAAGTCATCTCTGCATGACTTTGGGGGAGTCACAGGACCTCATTCTCCTCACCTGTAAAATGGGACAATAACAGAACCCACCATATTAAGCTACAGAGAGCATGAAGCAAGAGCCCTTAGCATAGCACCTGTACAGATACTGACCGAAAAGGACTGATATTCCACTTACCATGAGACCTTTCATCCAGCTCCTGTTCGCCATGCAGCATGGTCATCTTTTGAAAATAACAGTTAAACTGCCATTGTTAGCAGCTCTTCCACTCATGGTATCTCACGGTCAGAGAAAGCAGCCTGCTAATCTCCTGCCCAAACCTCCCCTGTCTTGGGCTGGCTGTGGTCACCTCTAGTGGCTTTTTCCTTTGAATACTTCCCCGGCACTCAAAATCAGATCCAGTGCAAAGGTCATGTCCTGAAACATGCCGTCTCTAACCACCTCTTCCTTCCCACCACCGATCTCCCATCTGTAACTGCTTTACTCATCTGTTGTTTGTGGCCCCCACCAAAATGCCCGACCATGAATGCAAAGGGGGTGCACTGCTGCCCACGGCCTGCAGCTTTGGGGAGGAGGTTGGTGTGGTGGCCTGCCCAGGAACCCTGAGCAACACAGCTCAGGCCTGGCCGCCTGAACAGAAACACACGGCAGGCAGAGCCCAGAGGTCAAAGGAAACACTTTTATTCTCCATCTGCCTTACGTGTTCTAGTTCTGCAAGCACAAATACATGGAATTAACAATAACCCTCTCCCTAAATGTCCTTCATTAAAAGTTGACACTGAAAAAAATTTCCTTCTTTTCCTAAAGAGTGTGATTGGAGGGGAACCTAAAACGAGGCCTGAGGATTGATCATCACATCTCCTGCCAGATCCCCTCTCGCTGAGCAGTGAGAGGCCTGGGGCGTCTATAAATAGCAGCCCCGTGCTCTGTCCTTCCGAGAGGGAAAGAACCTGGAGATGAGGAGAGACGGAGAGGCGAGGTGAGCACAGAGCCACTGGCCCAGTTTTGCCCACACCGAGGCACATGACCCTCAGGAATGCCGTGAAAATGCTGAGAGGAACAGAGTTCACTCGCTGTCTTCACCTCCAGCCCAGTGCATCCAGAAGCCAAGATGCCTGGGAGAACCTGCTGGTTCACTCTCGAGTCCCTCTGTACACAAAAGGGGAACCAGAGTAGGAACAGACGGGCTTCAGACTGCCCCTATTTTTAAGGGGCTCCCAGAGGGTGACCCTAGCTCCCAGCCCATAATCAGCAGGGAAGGGGGCATCTTTGTCCTTGGAGTGGCTTCATCTGCTCTGGTTCACAGGACTGTCTCTCGGATGACACCAATGAGGCTGTGTGGTCGCTCAGCCTCGGCTCGCCGGGGCCTCCTGCTGGTCCTGGGCCTCCCCATGGGCAAGGCAAAGGTGCTCAGGTCCCCGCAGCTACGCAGGTGCAGCAGGCCAGGCTGGATTCTCGAGGGCGAGGGCGGCACGGGGGTCTGGGAAAAGCCAGGCTGCGATGGAGCCATTACCTTCGGGAGACAAGGCAGAGGGGCCGGAGAGGTTAAGCGTCACTGAGGCGGCCTGTGGCCCACCTCCCAGGTCCACCTGCGTATTTTAATATTGAAGTGTTTCGCAAAAGAAAAAGCGTGGTTTCCCAAGGTAGAGCCTACTTTAATATACTAACTCTTTTCTAAAGTTGCTAAAAAGAAACCCTGTAAATTTTCTGTTGGTTCAGTGGTAGCCTTGCCACACTAACCGTCAACTGCACCTTCCTGCTCCACATTTAAAGATCCCCTCACTATCTTCTCCAGGTCCCTGTGGTGGAAGCCAGCGAGTCTCCCTCCTGCAGACGCATGTGTGGTCACAGGTCTCGAGAGGAACATGATTTCCTCCTGCCGCCAATTCTGATAACGAAGGGGTGCCTGAGCACTAATATTCTTAATAAGAACCCAGTGACACCAATGCACTCCAAAGCCTGGAAGCCACTGGCATGATCAGGTAATGAGGTTATAAAATGTCAGCCAAAACCAGCGGTGCTCTGGATGGACCAGATAACCGATCAATAAACAACAAAAGCGGAGGCAAAAAAAAAGAAAACTATTTAAGAACGGTTCTACTGCTAGATCTGTTTTGCAATGAATATATTACACACATAACATCACTGTAAAATGGCAAAAATATGGGAAATCGGGGCTGGGGATTTAGCTCAGCGGCATAAGCACCTGTTTTGTAAGCAGGCAGTCGTGAGTTCGATCCGTGGTACCAATAAAAATGAAAAAGACCAAAAAAAAAAAAAAAAAAAAACATATGGGAAATCTTCTCCCAATGGCACTGAGGAGGGAGCTGAAGGCTGTCCAGTTACGACTTTGGAAAGGAGCAGAGCCATGTCTGTATGACCTATCATCTCGTTAGTACCTTGGCAAAGACTCAGGACACTTATCACCACCCAGCATCCCAGAAAAATCACTTTGATGGGTCTCCACTATACCACTGTAAGCTTTTCAGGTCACTAAAAGGTTAATCTCTCAAAAGATAGGACATTAAGTTTTGCTCTCTTTAACTATATCTGTCTTTGTGGCCTGTCCCTGTCTCTTAAGAAGAAATCCCAACATTCATTACATCTAACTATGATGCATGGTAATTCAAGATAAGAGTTTTTTCCTATTGGGAAAAAAAATCAAAATGGATCTAAAAGCTCACTTAGAGCAACACTGGGTAGTCAGATGTCAAAGGTCCCTTTCCATAATGCTTGGCCTCCCTTTGTCTGGGAAGAAGTGTGGTGACACCAGGATGCCCATCACTGGGGTACAGAGCCGGAAGGGCCAGCAGTGCCCAGAATCTGTCACAACAGTTTCAGTACCTGAACTTTTCCTCAGTCTGGAGCACAAGACCCTGGTAAACACCTGTAAGCACAGTATGTCTACACTGTAAATGTCTGCTCTTTCCTTCAGGCCTCTTTCCCAAAAGGCCCACCCCACAGCCTGGCAGATTCCAGCTCTTTCTCATCAAAGCTTGGGGCCCTTTGACAGAGGGCTCCAGATGCTTGTGTCTGTGTTTTGCACCAGTAAGACCGGACAGAAGGGTGCATGCAGAAAATGACCCCTGGAATAGTTTGAGGTGACTGGGATGTACGGGTTCCCCTCGCCACGGGTTAGTAACCAGAGCCTGACCTGCAACCTCTGACTGCCCCCTCCTTTAGAAAACCAACCAGAAGGGCGGCTGTGGTTCGAGGACCTCTGACTACAAGTAATCAGGCAACTCCTCTCCCATGGGTCCCTTAGGAACAGGGGAGAGGCTGGCTTCTGGCTTTACTTTGGTAAGAAAAGCCCAGCGGGTAGAAATTTTACCCAGGACCCTGGAGGGGGCGGTTACCGTGAGGATCAGTGCAAGTCAGCGTAAGTACTTGTGGGGCAATGAGTCCAGTAACAGCCTGTGCCACTGGGCACCGATGCCAATGGTGCCCACCCTGCTGACCCGCAGGAATGGAGTCACCACCTAAAAGGTAACAGCTTTATAAATGGTGGAGAGGTTTTTAGGAGAGGGGAACCCCAGTCAGTCAGCCAGGTGTCTACAGGAATAGACACCACTCCATTCGACCCTTCACGCTAAAGAAATCTAAACTGCAGACAGACTATGGTATTCCATTAGGATCTTTTTCTGGGTCACTTTTGTTCAGAAGATTGTCCTTCTTTCTTTTAAACTCTATTTTCATGAGAGAGGGCCTCACTGTGTAGCCCAGGCTGGCCTCAAACTTACTATCCTCCTACCCCAGCCCCGTGTGCTGGGGTTACAGGGGCGCACCACACACTCAGTTGCCTCTTATTTCTAACCTATGGAAAGGAAAAAGAGTTGAGCCTTTAAGTCCTGCTGGCTTATTTATAGCGCCAAGCAGTCTGTGCAAATGTGAACAGCTCCCAGAATCCTGCCAATACCATTCTCAAAGGGCTAAGAAAACTCCCTCGGAGGAAGCTGCCCTTCAGGGAATCAGTGCTGGACACTCCAACTGCCCAGACCCTGTGGCTTTCCAGGTCTGCCTCCACGTCCCAGGAAACTGGGCCAAACCACAGTGGAAACATCACTGAGGCTCAAAGGAAAGTTCAGGCTTTCTCCCCATCCTGACCCCCGTTTCCTGACCACGAACTTACTGTGCTTTGGCTGGGAATCAGAGAAACCACTCAGGCTGGTTCCACGTCGCTATGGGAACCAGTTATCAGAATGAGGCTTGCTACGGCTAATAAAATTACCTGTTCAAGGAAACTGGCACTGGTGATGGCTTCCTCCATGTGCTCCTCATCGGATTTCAGAACAGACTTAATGTTCTCCACAAGTTCGTGGATGTCAGGGGCCATGCTGCAGGAGGACTGCTCCAGGAACCTGGCCACCAGCAGCTTGGTGTCTATGTAAGATCTATAATCTATCAAAGACCGGGGCCGGCATCGCGAGGCTCTCGGTCTCAACCCCCGCCTCAGGGTCACGGCAGCCAGGTCCAGCCTCCTTTCGGTCTGCGTGGCAGCTTCACAGCTGAGCACTGGGGTGGCTGTGGGCAGACAAACAACAGAACCCATTGGCCGAGGCCCTCTACAAACGCCACAAAAGTCACCATGGTAAGCATGTGACAAATGCAAGGGTCATGCACATCTTGTTTCTCATCTTACAGAAGAAAAGGAAGCAACTCAAAAGTCTGACACAAGCCCACTCTTTGAGTGCACTTTCAGTCTGGTAGATCCAGAGATATTTAACTGTGTCACGTAAAACACAACCTTCGCACCAAGACCAGAGGACAAAAAGCAGAACCTAGAATGCAAACCAGTGAGTTTCATGGAACATGGCACATAGACGAGAATGGATAAAACAAATAACAAACATGGCTGCTGAGTGAAAGAATGTTCTGGAATGAAGGAGCCACTTAAAGGGAGTGAAGAGAGACAAAGCTTGTGGAGTGATGCTTATTCACTGGAGACTGTTACCTTTGTCCTAACCATCCTCAAGGGCACTGTACTGACTTCTACTACCGATGCTCACACCGTGGCTATGAGGTAGATCTATGGCTGACCATTAGAGAAAATGCAGATTCAGAGAGATTACACGTCATTCCTGAAGGCAACAGCAGGCCTTGAAAATCCACAGAAGACTCTAATTTCTGTGACTACCTACAGCAACAGAGTAAAGACCAGCAGAATGCTACTGCATCATGAAGTGAGTGAAGTGGAACCGGGCCTGTCTCCATGTGTCCACAGCCAGCCGCCACCCTTCAGTGTATCCACCGCTGGCAACCTCATTCTGTGAAGGCCTAAGTGGGCATGCAGATGTTCAAGGAAGACAGGGAGCTGAGGCTAAGAAAGCAGATGCAGAAGCCGAGCATTCCTTTCCTCTGGAGAAAGGTAAGCACGAGGAACTCTAAACTGGGGTTAGAGCTTGTCCTCCAAGGTTGGCATCTGCATGCTACAGACAGCAAGAGTCTTCCGTGAGAGATACTCGTGTGAGGGCAGAGTCAGGATCTGTGCTCATTCCCATGAAGGCAACCTGGGGCCTCTCACAATAAAATGATCCAAAGGGCAACCATGTCGTCCTAGCCCCTGCAGGACTGCAATATGGAAGGGGTTCCAGAAAGACCTCCCTTAGCAGAGCAAGCAGCTAAGTTCCCGTGGGAGCTGCTAGGTGCCCAGCTCAAGTCCTCCACTGTGCAGGTGAGTCTGGGAATCAGCACCCAGCTGCCCAGCAGGGGGGCTGCTTGCAGGGTGTGCTCAGTCCAGGAGAGGAGGCTTCCTGCCCCGCCCAGTGCTGCAGATATGAGGAGTACTCTCTGGGGCTCCTGCACGGTCAGTCCAGAGCTGCGGCAATCAAAACACAGTGTCAGAGAGACAGAGAAGCTGCAAGGCTTGGGCAGGAACAGAGAGAGAGCAGGGTGAGAGGATGAGCAGAGTTTCATTTGCAGAGTTTTCAAAGAACAGAGGTCAACTGCTCTACCACTGCACCTACTGGCGTAGTTTCCTAAAGAATGCCCTGCTGACGAAATGAGAGAGCTTCAAATTCTTGCTTTTTTTTTTTTTTCCAGTTATCTACAATAATGAGATATTTGGAAATGTCTAGCTATTCATGTATTTAGAAAAAAACTGTTACTATTTTTAACATTCAAATACCTACATATAAGCCAAACTTATATGTAGGTATAACTTATAAGTGCAGAGAGGGAGATGAACTGTGTTTCAAATTCTTTCAACTTCTTAAAACAAGGTCAGATCCCAATAGTTTTAGTTGATACACACACAGTAAAAAGATAGCAGATACTGACCTACAGAAGAGGGGGTAAAAACATGCACCCCTTTGATGGTATTCCCACAGAGTTGTAAGCAACTAGAAATCACAACTAGGCTTCATAATTTTCTTCCTGGCACACCTAACATGATATCATGTGCAATAAATGCTTCTGATAACAGTGATTTAAAAAACAAATTCTGCCAGCCATAATAGAAGCAACAGATACACGTTCCTAATGGAAATGTCCAATCCATTCTTTTTCCATGGATTCTTGATCTCTTTCTAGATACCACATAATCTGCAAAGCCCTGGGCCGGGTAGAGACACCTGCTTTTAGCTGGCAACTTTAGACAAACAGGTACAGTGGTCTGCAATGAGCTTAGGGAAGGACATCACCTCTTTCCTCGGAATGGTGGAGCACAGGGTCACTCTTCGATCTTGTCCTTAGAGGTGGGAGCACTCTCCGGGCTCCAGGGGGATGCGCTGGGTTTAAGCTGGGAGTTGGTATGGAGGTGCTTTCTTCTCCAGGTGTGTTAGGAATGTCCCCACCTGAGTCATTTTAAATGGGACAAACATAAATTATTTCACCAACTGCAGCCTCCCAAATGTTTGGCAGGAAACACCTGTGAGCCCAAACCTGCCAGGGCAAGAGTAATATAGATAATAACATTTTCTTAGGCTGTCAGCCCAGGGTGTATTTCCCAGAACTATGGGAAAACCTGCCTCTCCAAAGCACCCTGCCACACCTAACACAAACAAACAAGAAGCATGAAGCCTGAGAGCCATGAAGCCATGCCAAAACATCAGCTTTGTCTAAAGGTGCTGAGCATCTTCTCCACTGATGCACCCTCAGGCCACTCTGAGAAACTCAGCACTTCATGGTTTCTGACTATGTATTCAGGCCGATCTTGCTGCAGGACTCCCTGCACAGGTGAGGGGTGTCCTGTGCACTGCAGGTGGCAGGGGGCCCTGGGCTGTGGGCACTAAATGAATCTGCAAAACTACTCTGGATTGGATGATCTCAGCTTGGGAAATACGATCATTTGGGAACCCAAGCTATGGTTTGGAAAAGTCTCTATAAAAATGGAAGAATTACAAACATACTTAGGGTAACACAGCTCTGGTTCACAATTCTCCTTCAAATAGAGGTGGGTGGGGCTGGGGTGGGACGCACCGGTACAGTGAGTGTTTAGCATGCACGAGACCCTGGCTTCAATCCCCAGGACCAAAATTGAAAGGAAAAAAAAAAAAAAAGAAGGGGAACAGAAACTCATTTCAAATGGTACTGATGAAAAATTATCTCCACCTAAAATAGCTATAAGTTGATCCATTATTTATTACCATTTGCAATTTTGTCCTCGTAGACAATTCTCTAGGTCATTTAAAACCTCCCCAAAGAGAAAGCTGTAACAATGACATCCTTAAATCACAGGGATAGACGTAAACTGACTCTAGGAATTACTATAGGATGGAACATGAGAATTCACTCAGTGTTACAGCAGGATGACTGGGCCCTAGGTTATACACAATATGGTGCAACCCCACAGCAACCACTCTGCAAAAATGGAACTTTTTCCTTTACAGGAGAAAGAAAACTGTAGATTGGAAAATGAAGACCAGATTAAAATCTATTTCACAGGTTCCTGCGGCTAGTCTGATTATTCATGAAGGAATCTAAATCTATCTTTTCTTTCTTGTTCACATATTATCTCCCATTTGCAAGTATTTACCAGCATTTTTGCACCTGGAAAGGAGGATATAGGATGAATCACTTGCTCCAAGAATATCTGAGCTCCAAGAAGACACCAGAAAGATGATTATTCTCCCACACGTTAATCTGCAGAACCATGACTGTGACCAGGGGTAATGTCTATTACCTTGAGTCACTTGCATACAAACTGGCTCCAAGGGGCTAGCAGCAGCTTCTGATACCTCTGGCACTTGGCATGAAGACCCCTGCGTCACAGGAAAGAAAAGGTTCACTTTGTTGCTGTTGGTGATTCATAGGCTCCCAGTGAGCTCGGTAAAATGACATGCAAGGCACAACATCCCCACTGCTCTCTGTGCGGTGTTGTGCTTGCGGCTTGTGGGTAGCAACCTAGAGAGAGATGCTCTGGACAGTACCTGCTCCTGATCCACCTGGCTCACTACAGCTTCATACGGAGGCGGCGGGTCCAGCGGACAGAACACTTCTACTCCTTTGATCCGAGCGCCATAAATATGTGGCAGTGGAATCACATCAGGACCAACCATCCTAGAGAGAGCACCTCAGCATCAGGAAGCCGTTCTATGCACTAGTCCTCAGCCTGCAGCGTGACTGCGGGGAAAGCCCCACCCTGTCCTACAATCACCAGTCAGGAAAAGGAGAACAGTCTGCGCTGCGCTGCTCGCTGCTGGGAAGCGGCTGCAGCTCCTCGGTAAAGGGGCTGCAGGTGAAATGTGACTGTGCCACTCCTCTTAAGATCACCAGTCAATGCGCAAACAATCCTCAGACACTGGCAACGGATAAGTGGTTGCCAGCGCCTCCAGGGAAGGGGACAGGGTGTGACTATCTAAAGGGTATAGCATTTTCTTAGAGATGACAAAAATGCTTTGGAACTAGAGAGAGGGAGTGGCTGCACAAAACGGAATCTACTAAGTGGCACTGAGTTAGGCATTTCCAAGGGCTCACTTCATCTTACCTGAATCTCACCACAATTTAAAGTGGGATGTTTGGTTTTGTAGCACTATAAAATACTGCAATTTAAAGTGGGATGTTTGGTTTTGTAGCACTGGGGATCCAACCCAGGGCCTCGAGCGTGCTAGAAAAGTGTGCTGCCACTGGGCTGCACACCCAGCCTCAGCCTCAATTTAAAACCCACAAGTAAAGGCAGCCAAACCCAGTCACTGCTTGCATTAGGACATGCCCGGATTTCCCTAATGTCTGATTCATGACATAAACTCATTATTTGTCAAGTAAATAACTGAAACCTGAGTTAATTTAAAACAAAAGGTGAACAATGTCCTAGCTCAGAGACAAAGCAGAGTCCTGAAAAAGTGGAGGATATTCACAGGCTGGGCGCTTTCCCCGTCCCAGGCGCCGTGCAGGATGTGGGCACTGGGTAACAGCTGTTTGTTTGTTTGTTTTTAAGGGTGTAGGAAGGATGACTCCAGGGGAAAAGGAAAAGAAGGCTGATACTGTTTCCCCCTGAATGTAATACAGTAAGACCAGCCACGTAGGTCAAAGGACTTCTGTTCACCACCACCAAAGCAAAGTTGCAACCACCCCAGGATTTCAGCAGACATATTTAAAGGTTCTCACATTGACCCACAGTGTGGGTGTACAGAAGTGCAAAGAGGGTGTACTCTCCTCCAGGGAACTTAATTAACATGGCAGCTGCGGTACTCAAGAGTCGAATCTCTCCCCTGAACCTCTTCCCCAGTCCTGCTGGCTGTTACTATGACTTTCTCCCCATTTTCCTCTCGTCTTGCATCCCCACCTCTGCTCTTTAAGTGGGGATACTTTAGGCTTCTTTAGTCACTATATATTACTTTTGGCGGGGGTATGAGATGGTCTTGCTATGTAGCCCAGAATGGCTTCAACCTCACAGTGATCCTCAGCCTCATGAGTGCTGGGATTACAGGTGTGCACCACCATGCCCAGCTACATTTTTAAAGTTTACTAATAAAAACAGCATGACCTCACTTTCCCAAATGCCTTCGTCTCACCAAGTAAAGTTAGATGCTTTTGCTTCGTAAGTGCTGCTTAAGTAACAATTTTCTTGTTTGTTTTCTGGTTTGCTCCTTGGTTGAGGGACCTCAACTATTGCAAATAAAAAACAGAAGTCTTCAACTTTTCCTGCCAGTGTTCATGGAAAACTACACACACACACACACACACACACACACACACACACACACACACACGAGGGGGAGAGGAAGAAACAGAGAGGGAGGCGGGGAGGGAGAGGAGAGAGACGGTAAGAGCACCAAATTCTAACTTTAATTAATTAATTTATTTATTGGTATCGGGACTCACACTCAGTACTTTGCACTTGCCAGGCAGGCACTTATGCTACTGAGCTATAACCCTGGCCCTATTTTACTTTATTTATTTTTTTGGTACAGGAAACTGAACTCAGGACTTTGTGCTTGCCAGGCAGGCACTGTACCATTGAGTCACATCCCCAGCCCTCTAAATTTTAAAATATTACTATAAAATACTGCAAAAGCTGTAGTCAGGTTATGGAATATTGGAGAATGATAAAATTAGATTAACAGTTGCTCCAAAACAAAAAAGAAAAAAAAAAAAAAAAACGAAACAAGAGTGATGGAAAGTTACATGTAGGGGACTGCTTTGAGCAAGGATGGATTTAAAATTATTTTTTTATTCTTGTGTCTATTTCTAAAATGTAACTGGAAAAGAAGTGTAAAGAGATGTGATATTCTTTATTCCTAACAATAAAACTTTTGGAATCCTGTTATTTAGAACAATGAGAATTCTATAGTTGCAACAAAAAAAAAAAAAAAAAGAAAAAAAAAGAAAAGAAAATGTTCTCCTCTTCTTTCCTGAATAAATGAGACTCTCATTCCTGGCCTGATCTGACGGGGAAGAAAGGAAGTTACATGTTTACTGGGAATGCTCGCCAGCAGGGCACCGCTCACCAAACATTCAGTCTGTAGAGACGCCCCATCATGAAGGGGTTCCTGGAAAAGTTATACTGAAAGAGATACTGCTCCTTGGCACAGGTTGGGCCATGGCTTTCACGCCAACCCTCCCAACCAGCTGAGGCTGTTTAAGATCTAACAATGCCCAGCACCTCTCAGAAACCAGATCCTTCTAGGACCTTAATAGAGACTCTTTCCTGACCACTGAACAATGCAGTTGCTTTAATCCATAAGACCTATGGACTCCATAGAGGGAAGTCTTTACTCCTTCATAAACATGACCCCAGCGGCTGGGGATTTAGCTCAGCAGCATAAGCGCCTGCCTTGCAAGCGCGTGGTCATGAGTTCAATTCCCTGGTACCAATAAAAAAAACAACAAACAAAAAAAAAGAACATGACCCCATAAACCTTCTTTCCAGCCCTTACCAACCTCACCAAATAGTGTTTTTGTGAGGGAAACTTCCCCTCACAAATACACAGAGGCAAAGATGCATTAATTAGCCATGTCTAGAATGCACCATTGAAAAGAAGACACAAACTAAAGAGGTCTCCATATGTGCAACAAAGTCTTCCACTATAATCAATCCACAGGTCTCAGCATAACAAACAAACAAACACATACACAACAGAAACATGAGAAGAAAAGGCAACAAAACACCTTTAAAAACTCAACTCCCCCAAAGCTAACCCATGGGGAATTAACAAGGAGGAAAAGAAAAGCCACACAGCCCAATTATTTGAAAAGATAACAGAAGAGATTTTAAAAAAAGGAACAATAAGGAGCTTGATGAGTTCAAAGATACAATTATCTTTAGGATCTTTACTTAAAGATCCTAAAAAACAACATGAACAGTGGGTCTACAGAAGACACCGCTGAAAAAGCTACCAGAGCTAGGCAAAGCAATGCAAAACCAGAATATCCAAAATGGAAAAAGCAAGTCCATGAAAAGGCACCAAACAAATTCAGGAAATTAAAATTTCTATTGAAACTATGGGCAGCAGAAGCAATCAATGTGAGGGCAGATTGTCAGAGTCTGCTGTAGTGATTAATTATTACGAGAGACCCTCATAACAAGAGAACATGAAAAATGAATCCAAAAGCTCCTAGATGGCATAAATAATACTGAGCTAAGAATGATAGGAATTAATCAGAAAATAGCATAAATTCCATTAAAAAATTTTTGCTTACAGAAATAAAAGAAAAAGCTTTCCAGATATGATAATTTAACATACAGATGAGTGAGGCATATAAAACCCTAAATAGTCAGAAAAGAACATCTCCACAACATATCACCATCAAAATCCCAGAAGCCCAACACAAGAACAGAATTTTAAATGGTGCTAGAGAAAAGCAATGCATCATTTATAAAGGAAACCCCATTAGAAGTACAGTGGACTTCCCAAAACAAACCTCAAAAGCCAGGAAAACTTGAAGTGTTTCAAGCCCTAAAAACAAACAACTTCCAACCCAGAATATCCTGATATACCTGCAAAACTATCTTGCAAAACTGGAGAAGATATTTTCATGATAAAGAGCACCTAAAGAACTTCCTGACCACCACAGCCAGCACTCCTAAAACTTCCCAAGGATATCCTAGAAATAGAAAATGAAGCTAAGGTCCAACAGAATGAATATATCAGCTAGGGCGAGCAGTTAAACGAAAGGAAAAAAAAGGGAATCAGCAACAGAAAAATAACGCAGTGACAGAAATTAATCAATACCTTTCAATAACAACTCTCAAGTAAATGTCTCAATTTCCCAGTCAAAAGACACAGACTGGCAAAATGGATCAAGAAATGAAGTTCGATGATATGCTAGGTACAAGAAACTCATTTTACCCAAAGAGAAATTCATATGCTAAAAGTCAGAGGGTGGAAAACAACATTTCACACAACAGGAACCCAGAAACAAGTAGGAGTAGCTCTCTTATCTGCAGACAAAGTGGGCCAAGCCAAAACTGATCGGAAGAGACAAAGAAGATCACTGGACAGCAAGCCCCTGACTTACGAATGTGTTCCACTCTGGGGAAACCATTTAAAATGAATTCATTCACTAGTCTGACAAAGTGAGTCTTACACGCCATTGACACAAATATATAATGTATATTGCTTTGTGCTTCCTGACAGTTCCCTCCACATCACCAGACTTTTCCTCTGGCTTCCAGACCTCCCGGGCTCTGACTGAGCACGGCACCACTGTACGCCATCACACTGTACAGCAGGCACACAGCTGCACAGCTGTGACATGGCCAGCAGACATGTGAGCTTTTTCTGAGATCTGTTTGCATCTATAAACGTTCATAATGCAAGGCCCACTCTTATCTGTGAACGTGCTCAAATCTAATGTTTATAAATTAGAGACTTACTGTGTATTGGTTAAGGGAACAATTCAACAGGAAGAAATAAGAATTATAAACATATACACACCAAAAAACCGCACACTCAACAAAAGATCAGTAAATATCAATACAATTATAGTGGGCGATCTCAATATAGTTAAATCCCTGACTGATTTAGGAACATTCCAGTTGCAGACTTTCACAGGTGTCCTGTATAAAACTCACCATGTTAGCTTAGGGTAGGTTTAGGCTTATGAAGGAATCCAAC